GATGTCACTACACATGTATGTTGAATTTATTTCGTACCGTTCGTAGCCAACCGTGCTAATTTGAGGTTATCACTGATTGTAGACTTCCGAGAACAAACGCACACGTTGGAAAGGATTACAGGTCACATTTTATTCATCGTTTTAAATTAACGCGTGAACACCTGCGTGGGAATAGCCCAGGGTCAAGCAAGCCCTGGCAATCAGGAGCTGTCGATTTCCACCTTTAGGTTGGCACCGGAACAGTGTAGCAGCAGTGCACTTTGGAGTTATTCACCTATTCAGCATCTGGTTATGGTTGTAGCCAGTTTACATGTGTAGTGTCTTGAAAAATCACTCATTCGGACACGTTGTAACAGGTCACCTGCTTACACTTTATTACTCTATTCTTGCACCAGTTGTAGGCACTCCTGTCTCTGTCTATACGGTCACTTTTGTTAACAACTTCCCCTATCTACTTTACACCTCGCTAACCTGCCTGCGGCAGCTTTTTCTCTCAGCAGCTTTTTCTCTCAGCAGCTCCGCACTCGAGGCTCCGCACTCAGCAGCGCTCACACAGAGGCTTGCATGCAGCTTCGCTCCCACAGAGGCTTGCACACAGCTTCGCTCACACAGAGGCTTGCACACAGCTTTGCTCACACAGAGTTTGCACACAGCTTCGCTCCCACAGAGGCTCCGCACTCAGCAGCGCTGACACAGATACTTGCACACAGCAGCGCTCACACAGAGGGTTGCACACAGCTTCGCTCACACAGAGGCTCGCACACAGCAGCACTCACACAGAGGCTCGCAACCAGCAGCGCTCACACAGAGGCTCGCACACAGGAGCGCTCACAGAGGCTTGCACACAGCTCGCTCACACAGAGCTTGCACACAGCAGCGCTCACACAGAGGCTTGGACCCAGCAGCGCTCAAACAGAGGCTTGCACACAGCAGCGCTCACACAGAGGCTTGCACACAGCTTCGCTCACACAGAGGCTTGCACACAGCAGCGCTTGTACAGAGGTTTGCACCCAGCAGCGCTCACACAGAGGCTTGCACACAGCTTCGCTCACTCTGCGCCGCTGCCCACGCCTACGTTCCCTCAGACCCACTCACTCGTCCGATCCGGGCGGGGGGATCAACCATCACCCGCCCGGCGACTCGTGAGGGTTGAGGTCCGTCGCTGGCTTGAGCGGCAGCGGCGAGATGTCTTCATCTTGATCCCAGCAACCCGAACTCCTGCTCCGCTCTCACACGCCTCCTTATATCCCCCTCCCAATTATCCAGCTCCTCCATTGTGTCTCTTTAGGGTCAGACAGGCTGGCGCCTGTCAAGCCATCAATCACCCCTTATTGCACGTCTCCCTGGCAACACCTCCGGTGTCAGCGTGCAGCCCCAGGCTGACCCCGTCTGCACCCGATTCTCTCCTTAATGAGGTGGAGGTTTGCTCGTGCAACCTCACATTGCACACGTGCACCTGCCTGCCCTCGGTTGCCCTCGGCCCACAGTGCGCACCGCGTATTTACCACACTACACATGTAGAAGTCCCCAGAATTACACGTCTTCGTCACACAGCCCGTGTTCCCCAGCATTACCTCTCTCTCTGTAAACATCGTGGAATAGGAGCCATATTGAAAAGTGCCTGTACGCTGTGGCAAGTGCCGGTTTGGCGTATTTCTACCAGTGGTTATCGCACAGTCCCTAATGCGGTCACCCTGTTAGCAATGTTACAGCCATGGTAGTGAGATACTCTGCGTGTTAAGCTTGATCTGTTCTCAATCTTCCTGCCCTGCCCTTTGCCACCCACCACATAGACCCCCTGGTGGTCCATCCAAACACTAAAACTATGATTTAAACTATTTTTTATTTTACCAGGTTAGGCCCACTGAGCTGCATAGATCTTTTTCAGAAGCGACCTGGCCACAAATTTATATTTATAGCAGCCAAATGCTCAAAACGCATGTTTCTAAATGTGGAGGGGGAAACAGGAGGACCCGGAGAGAAATCCACACGACCACAGGAAGAGTGACATGCAAACTCCAAATATATAGGTGTCAGGGTTGGGATCGAACTCACGACCTCTTGTATACCAGGCGAGGTAATTAACATTTCGCCACCGCGGCACCCCTATTCAGATTCAACCATGCTTAGCTTCCACAGTCTGACGAAAATTAGCACGCTTATGCACCTCAGATTAGCACGATTGGCTAGTACGGTGCCAAATAATTTGAACATACATTCAGAATGGGCGCTTTCTGGGTAATCTGGTCTTTCAGAGCATCACATGTGTCCGTATATATCGTGCCACCATGTGCACCGACCTTTTAGTCCGGCTCCTTCCAGACCATAGGTCAGTGGATTTAAAAATCCGTTCAAATTTGGCATTGAAACAAACACCTGGTTGTTTACGATTCCCTGTTGTTCACCACCTGCCGGGTGAGGGGGGCGTGGTGGTGATGTAGAATTTTACTGCACTTGTTGATTTTGCAGGGATGGCAGTTTTCTCATTCTCTCTATCTTGTTTACCGAGTTTTGAAGGTTTTTTTATGTTACTCATTAACGGGTAAACTCCTCATGTGTGGCATACTGGCCTGGCACAAGCGCCGTGGTGATATCACCGCCACTTTGTGGCGAATGGCGGGTTTTTGGTATAGTTTTACAAGTATATCTGTGATTATCCTGAGCAAGATAAAGGGGGTCCAGTGTTTACGATTTTCCACTTTTGAAATGTTCTGGTTGTTGCCAATCCTTTCGTGTGGAGAGACTGAGATGCGTTTGAATTACTCTCTACGTAATAATTCACGGAAAGTTCTTCACAATCAGTTATACATTAAATTGTGGTTTTAGCGTTTATAAGACTTTTGCGTTAGTGTATGAAGAGTTGACAAATCTACATTTACATAATTAGACCTCCTTTGCCAGTACCAAAATGTAATAATAGGGTTTTTCCCCGTTTTTCTGGCAACAAAACTGAAACCTTTTTACAAGGATTCATGTCTGCATTAACCACAATACCCGCAGTCAAAATGCAAACAAAAAACACACTATGATAATATATGCATTGTCCTTGAAACAGATTGGTCCACACCAAGGGATGGCTTTCTTTTGAGCCTCGACCCAATTGGTGCTCGACCAGATGATGCCAAAAGGCGTACTATTCTGTTTCTATTTTAGGTAAGACCCACTGAGCTTCATAGAGTTTTTTCAGAAGCGACATTGCTATCACAAATGATAGCTCAACAAAGTGGCTCATCATCACGTGGAAATTTGTAGCAGCCAAATACTCTAAATGCATGATTATAAATGTGGAGAGAAAAACCGGAGGACCCGGAGAAAAATACACGCGACCACAGGGAGAACATACAAACTCCAAATATACAGCAGGCATCAGGGTCGGGATCAAACCCACAACCTCCTTTATACCAGGCAAGGGAGTTAACATCACGCCACCACTTGTTGAAGACAGACGCATTGTCTGTCTTCAACAAGACACCACTCTGCAACATGGTTACCCAGGATGCATTGTGTCCTCATCTTTCGACACAATTATGTTTAATACAAATGAGTTTACACGTAATACGTATGATTTTAGAAGGGTTTGTTACTCAGAATATAATTACGGATGGATGTTGGTATGGATATTCTCGGGGAGTAAGGGAAGAAGAAGGCATTGTTTTTGAAGGGTATAGCGATACACTCCGATCATCCTGACGCACTTATCTGGCTTGACCACCTGAATGTGAAATTGTAGTTGTTGCTCTGCATCTACATTAGCCATGCGAAAGAGAAGAAGAATATTACGACGTTTAAGCTGATGCTGACGTCCATGTTTACGGAGCTTCTGTGACGGGCTGTACATCTGTGTGTGTCAAGGACTCCTGTGACGGGCTGTACGTCTGTGTGTGTCAGGGACTCCTGTGACGGGCTGTCTGTCTGTGTGTGTCAGGGACTCCTGTAACGGGCTGTATGTCTGTGTGTCAGGGACTCCTGTGCCGGGCTGTACGTCTGTATGTGTCAGGGACTTATGTGCCGGCTGTACGTCTGTGTGTGTCAGGGACTCCTGTGACGGGCTGTACGTCTGTACGTGTCAGGGACTTATGTGCCAGGCTGTACGTCTGTGTGTCAGGGACTCCTGTGCCGGGCTGTACGTCTGTATGTGTCAGGGACTTATGTGCCGGCTGTACGTCTGTGTGTGTCAGGGACTCCTGTGACGGGCTGTACGTCTGTACGTGTCAGGGACTTATGTGCCAGGCTGTACGTCTGTGTGTGTCAGGGACTCCTGTGACGGGCTGTACGTCTGTGTGTGTCAGGGACTCCTGTGCCGGGCTGTACGTCGTTTACAGACGTGCAGACACGTTTGTAAACGTTATCGCAGCGAAATTGCAAGCACTTGTTTTTTTCTCTGGGCATACTTTTACGTAATATAAAGTGTGTGTTTCCCACTGCCACTCGTGTGAGTGGCAATTCTCACAACCGTTTTTATGTGTTGGTGCGTTTTCAGTAATGGTGTAGCGGCAGCCTAGTCACAGCATGTTGTCAGTTTACTTGTACGTGTCGCTTCGTGACGTCACGGTACAGATTTGTGTAGACATTGTGGGGAGCTGCCAACCTGAATTTGATTCCAGCTCCTGCTAACATCGGTGGCGAGTGATCTGAATTGGTCCTGGGCACCTCCCCCCTACTTAACCAACCCGCACTGGCTAGTGTGGTGAGGATTGGTCAAACAACACATGTATATATATACGTGCGTTGAACTTCTTTCGCACCGTACGTAACCTACCGTGCTAATCGGAGGTGCGGGATGAAATGACTGTCCTGGTGTTGGGGAGGATTTAATCCAGCAGGGGATTGACAAAGGACTCAATTCGTATAATAATTACAAATTACGTGATTAAGGTAATGGTGCTGTGAGCGTATGTGATCGTACTTGTCATAATTATCACCATACGGTGTGTTATGCGCGTGTGTTTACGCGTCGTATGAGATTGTGTCGTGCGTAATGGGCTGCGTTGCTTGGACAGGGCCGTCTGGACAAGAGGGTGGAGGCCGCCATTGCCGAGGGCGACATCGACGTGGCCGACCGGCTGAGTGACCAGGTGGCATCGCGAGAGGTGCGTCGTCCTCTTCACATGCACCCCGCGTCCACCCTGGTGGAGCCACGGCCATGAGAACTTTCCACAGGCACGTTACAGCAATGGGGGGGGGGGGGTGGGGGGGTGCCAGGGTGTAATGACTCACACACTCGACTCGCAATCCAGTGGTCGCCCCGGTTCAGTCTCGACGGTGTAAGTTGGTTCACCGCAGTTAGACGGGCAGGTCGTGTGCGTGGTGGGGTAGAGTGTGGGTACTTCCACCTCTATTCAGATGTCTAGCCAGTGTGGATGAGTAGGCCAAAACACACTCTAGAGGGGTTCTCTAGAGCTCCCTCTCGTGGAGGTCCTTCCAACAGTGGCGTGAGCGAGTAAATGAAGGGTTGCACCTTTCAATGACGAGAGAAATCTATCAAGGCAGTGTAAGTGAAATGTCCAATCGCACCAGTATGGAACATCAATACGCAGCACCAGTATCTGGCAGTCTCTGTTAAGAATAAAGTAAAACCCAACCACCCCTCCTATCGAATGACTCGACTGCGTTGCAATCATATCATGTGAATGATGTCGTCGGATTTAACAAGCTACGCAGCATGCTGCAACGGGCTCGCACTTTGTTTAAAAAACAAAGTGTGAAACTTCTCGACGCGTACGCCGGCTCTATTCGCTGCTGGTCACCTGTCCGTGGGTCAGTGACTCGGTGCCACAGACTTGTCGGAAAGTAAAACTCGATCACTTTTGAGAAGAAATAAAAACTGATGGCGCGGTCGTCGTCTTCACCCCCACTCGATGCAGTGTGAACAATTAAATTGTGTGTCATCATCACCTAATTGACGCGCGTTGTGAAAAAACCATGCTGTTGTTTTATCCCAGGCCACCCGTCCCTCTCCACTCCCCCATTAATAATCGAGAACTGACTCAAATTAAGCAAACTACAGTCGCACCCCGGTTTACGTCTCCCCCCTTTTACGTCATTTCGCAAATACGTCGTCACTTTATTAATACCACTGCATGATTTCAAACTGCTATAAACTATTACTTATTTTACCAGGTAAGGCCCACCGAGCTGTCGAGTATATTTCTTTTTTCAGAAGCGACCTGGCCACAAATGATAGCTCGACGAAGTGGTTTATCATGTGGAAATGTATAGCAGCCAAATCCTCTAAATAGATGTTTATTTTAAATGTGGAGGAAAAAACCGGAGGACCTGGAGAAAAATTCACGTGACTATTGGGAGAACATGCATACTCCAAATTTCGAGGCATCGGGGTCGGGATCAAACCCACGACCTCCTGTATACCGGGCGAGGTAGTTAATATCTCGCCACCTTGGCGCCTCTGCCCACACATCAGCATCCATCTTTTATCATATGCATCACCTCAGACTTTGCCTCCTTGTCAGTTGCTTTGATTGACGTTTCGATATTTGTCATCGCTCCTTTCGGGAACGCATCCCTGGCGTAGACCAGGGTATTAATGTACGTGAACCAGTTTTATTCCTCATTAAATCTCTTTCGTTATTGGCATTTTTTTATTTTATGGTTTAGACATTTGTAATGTTGTCCATGCAGTTTGGGGTGATGGTGAGCAAGGCGGTGGAGTGCCGCGAATTCGTAGCAGAGCAGCGCGCGATGTCGGAAGCCAAGTTCAAGAAGAAGAAACCCAACTTGGCGTGGGGGTAGGTGTGACGCTGTGCCCTCCACAAGCCTCGCTTCCCACGCATTCACATATCGCTCACTAGTCTCCGCTCTTTACTCAACACTCAATTATTTTCCCAAGCTAACCCCATGACCCCCCGTAATCTCTGACCTCTTAACTACTATCACCGTTACTGGTCCCTCTTCATGTTCTCATGACATGACTATCACTCATTCCCCCATTCATTCAATCCATTCGTCATCATTTGCTGTCATCAATTTTTGCTTTCACTGAATGCACAGATTCACCTCCATTGCTTCTTCTCATCTATTTCGTTCACCTCATCTCCACCGTTACATTCACACGCGTTGTTGTACCATTCTTAATTCTCTGTAAAGCGCCTTGGTTAAGGTGCTATATAAATTACGTTAAGATAAGATCAGCTAGTTAAACACGTAGGCTTTCGCGACCAATATCCATAATAGAGGTTTTTTTTGGGTTAGATCGCGTAAATATGAATGTCGTTAAAATTACACATGCATTATATGAATATGTTAACCCCCCTCCCCTCTGGGCTTCGCACCTGATTGGCCCACAAGTGATGACATCACATTTATCCCTCTATTTAAGACTGAAATGAAACAGGAGGAGGATTTTTTCCAAAACTCTGGCTGTCGCCTCATCATGCGAAACGTCACGATACTCGAATTGTAAATGTTGTAGTGGGTTTACTCTCCAACACACCGGTGTGCTGAACTAGTAACTAATTATCACGTTTTGTTTATGTGACAAACCTTACTAATTGGCTGTGTCGGGCGGTGGCGGGTTTAACGACATATTTATATTTAGCGATCTAACCCAAAAAAACTTATTATGGATAAGATCAGCTGTTGATGACGACGACAACAACAACATGAACAAATAGCAAGTTGGATAGTGGCACAACGATCCACTTACACACGAGCTGCTTGAATTGCTCCTTCTCCTTGACGGACATACTTTCCTGGCGTAGTTTTGTCTCTTGGCTGCCACTTTATCATCGATACTTATTTTCACGTCCGTGCATTGTGTTCATGTTCAAACGCCGCTGTTGAGAATTACCAGCAATGAGAGACAGATCCACTAAAGCCAGATGCGGATCGTAGCCAGCCCACACGATCAGAATCTGATAGGCTAAGACTCAATACGAGAGCATGAGGATGTTACACCATTGGTGTTGCTCACAGTAGACTGATTGTTTTGAGTAATAAATTAACAATTATGCTTACACACTATATATAAATATGCAATATTTATGTACACGCATACAGATGCACAATATTCACAGCCTGTACACACTGATCTAAATGCCCTGATACAGCCTTCCGTACATTCACATAGGTATAAAAGAGACCTGCATTTCGTTAAATTTTTTGTTGTTTTATTTTTTTTTCAGTGGTGACATGTCCTGCCAATTAGCACGTCCGCCGTTTGTGGTGGAGGTTCACAGTTCGCATCCGACGGACGCCATAATTAATACTGCGGGTGTAATGACTGTGATGATACCACACCCTGCCTGCCTCGCAGTGGCCATTAAAGATCCCTGGATGTCTTTCACCAGAGTAGGCCACTGTAGTGGCATCTAGGTCCACATTTACCAATTTGGAAATTGGGAATTGCACGTAGCATTTGCATCTTACTGGCAGACTGATGCCCGTTTGCAGGCCAGGCTCTCATATATAAGCCCCCCCCCCTTCCCGACGAAAGATTCCCACAGGTTGAGGCATCGAGCCTACCACCCCCACCTAAATGTGGCTATGAAACGCTGACAGCCCTCCCCCCACCCCTGCGGATTTTCTGTCCCCACCGCCGCCCCCAGAACGCATCGGCGCGTTGTACCGAGCTCGTGTTCTTACCACAATAAAAACATTAAAAAACAACAATAGACCGACTAAAAAAACTACTCGCTCTCGATAACGCAGCACAATTCTTACAGATCAGATATACCCATACGTACAGAACACATGCACGTACACACTAACACCGAGTGTACATACACTTGCATAACAACAACACACAAGATATAACAAATACTAGATGCTCGATGGATTGTTTCACCGCTTGAGAATGAGGGATGGGGCGGTTTGGGGGAGGAGGCCTTCGTCCAGCAGTGAATAGATCATTCCCGTTGATGACGACAATGATTGTTCTAGCAAGGCAGTAGCAAGAATGCCTAAACACACCTCGTGTTTCACCGTGCCACTCTTTTCTGGTGGAATTTCTCGTACGTTCGTGAACTCGACGCATTTCATAAGTGTATCTCAATGAGAAAGAAAATAGGCAACGTTTCGAGAAATGGCCGTTCTTCATAGCAGAGAGAGGAAGAGGCCAGAGAGATTGAGTGGTTAATAGTTGCAGGCTGTACTACATAACCGTGGGGCCCTGATATCAATAATTTAATAAAAATACAGCAGTTAAGAAAATAGACGGAAAAATATGTAATGGGCAACGTTTCAGGTAATGACCCTTATGTGCTGTGAAGAAGGACCATTGCTCCAAATGTCACTGATTTAAAAACATATCATTAGGGTGGTGCTCTTGATGCATTCCGTTGCTGTTCTTTACTCATATGCACCACTGCCAATGCAGCATCACGTTTTCACACGTGTTTTTTGTATGTGCTCTGTATGTTCTATCTTTTATGCATTTTTTTTCTTATTGCAGATTCGAAGCTAAGAAACGGTGGGAGACGAAGAGCAACATGGGGTACATGTGAAACCCAGCGCAGGTGGGCGGCCGGAGCTTTTGCTCGCTTGTGTCCACCCCGCAGACCCGAGCGCAAGATGCTTGCTATCGGCACCTCGGTGTGGGCAGTGTAACGCGGGCGTAAAGCCGCTGCCCGTGCCATGACGGGATGGGTAGTAGCCAGAGGTGGTGCTATGCAGGCACGGGATGATTCGCCGATGACCAAATTGCCAGAAAAGGATCCGCTTGCTGGATCCCACAGGCCAAGCGGGTTTGAGCCTGGAAATTACTTGGGTTGGCGACTCTCATGTGCCAGCAGATTGCCATAGGCAGCTGCAGGGCTACATGGTGGTCGGTAGACGGCAGTGCAGCAGATTGCAATGTTGTATAGTATATATATGCTTCCACGTCTGTGCTCCCCTACATCACCAACACCCGCACTGACCAGCGTGGTGAAGTATGGTCAGGTAACTCCTACTATCCACATGGGGAGATCTTCATACAGCTGTGGATTGACAAGAAAGAGGCTCATATTTTTGAGTCTTTTGGTAAAGTCACATAGATAGGTTCAAAGAAAATAACAAAAACTAGTAGATTTTTGTTATACATATTTTTTGTATTTTTTTGTTATTTTTGGTTATTTTATTTGAACCTATCTACGTGATTTTACCGAAAGACCCAAAAATATTAATTCCTGCAGTCACAAACGCTTGAAGTCAAGATTTAAGAAAGGGGCTGAGCATGCAATGATCCCCCAGAGTGATTTGGTGAATTGTCACGATTTGGGTCGGGATTCGGTTCGAGAGTCAACACCTTTGCCGCCTCGATTGTTCAGCAATGTCTGCTGCATCAGCCTCGATGTAACAGCATATCACTTACATGTTTGTATTAATCATAAACCGACTTTGTGTATTTGATGAATCGATAGAGCGTTAATGGGTAAATGCTATTTAGTAGATCATATATTTTTTAATACAGGTTTAATTTAAAACTACTGCTTTTACCATTGTGATATTATTTGCACCACAGTTATAATAATCCGTGAACAGGAAAAAAAATCACCTTCACAATACATGCAAACTTTGGTTCTTTCGGATTAATCACATAGAAAATCAAATCAAATAATAATAGAATACGACATTTCGATTGCAACACAAGCAACCATCATCAGGTAAGAATGAATGATAAAACACAGACACGGGAACATCATAGGCAGAAACACATGCAGAGAGAGACACACAAAGACACACCGAGCGAGACACACACCAAGACAAACAGGACAACGAATCTGTGCCGAGGCCTTAAATAGAGAGAGGGGGGAGGGGCCGGGGCAGAGAGAGGACTGGGGAGGCGGACAAACGAGAGGGGACCTGCGGACAAACGAGGGGACAAGGAGGGAGCAGTGTGGAATTCCGGACCACAGTGGCCGGAGGAGAGAATGGTTTAGAGCAAGAAAATCAAAAGTTTGCAAAAGCAAATTTAGTAAAATTAAGAAGTGTAATGCAATGCAACACAGAGGGTCGGTTAACACACAGTTAACGTATAGCCTGGTTGATTAACGTTCTTCCAAAGATTGCTAAATTAGAAGTAAAGTGTGATAAAACACAGACACACCGTCTCCTCACGGAGGCCCCCTGTCTCCTGTCCCCTGCAAAACTTGGAGTAAAAAAAAATCCTCATTCAATTTGCACAGCAAGCAAACTTTGTATTGTGGTTTAATAAAGCAAAGTACAGGTTACAAATATTGTAAACGTTCTCTTTTTATTGGTGCTTTCCAATGAGGTTGAAAGTGTGAATGCATCAGCTTATTCTATGACAAGGATGTGACCTCCTTTGGGGGAAACTTGGAGCTCACAAGCATGAGCATCAGTGGGGTGGAGATGGTATAGTCAAAACGAACCCTCATCCATCAGTGGACTGACAGAGCTGCCCATGTACAGTACACACTAAACTATTATTTGCACAGATAAGGTCCACAAATATGTTTCAGAGGCGACCTGTTCACATGATAGTTCAACGAAGTGGCTTATGTGAAAAATTAGAGCAGCAGCCAAATAATCTAAACGCGTGTTGAGAGAGACACCGCAGACTCCAAATATACAACAGCAGGTGTCAGGGTCGGAATCGAACCCACGACCTCCTACATACCAGGCGAGGTAGTTAACATCTCGCCACAGCTTGACATTCACGTGCCCGGGAACTGCTGACACCCTAATCCAAGCAGCTGGAGGGCGATGCGTTTAATAAATAAATAAATGCTCCTTCCACTTCTAGATTTGAAGCTTTCGTGACTACAAGGGTCCATACTCTTTGGTTCTATTCGGTAAAGTCACGTAAAAGTATAAAACGAAAATAATAATAAAATAAAATTCACAACGTTTCGGCCACAACACAAGTGGCCTTCATCAGGTGAAGGGACCAGACGTGACTTTACCGAATAGAACCAAAGAGTATGCATCTTACACTGCCACGACTGACAGCAATCGAGTCACGTGGGTGGGCGAGGGGAAAGGGTGAGGGGGCGTGGTGATGGGGGGCGAGGGGGGCGTGGTGAGGGGGGGTAAGGGGGCGGGGTAAGGGGCGGGGTGAGAGGGGGTGAGGGGGGCGGGGCTGCCTTCACACGTGACGGCGCATAACCCGCGCGAGCGGCTGAAGGAGGCGCGTGACGCGACGTGACCCCGCGATGACGACGCCGCGTGGGGTGTGGGAGGGAAATCACGCCACGTGACGTCATCACGCCAACGCGTTAACTAGGGCGTGACGCAATCGCGTACGCACGCCGCGAGTGAAGGAAGAAGAGATCTGCGGAGACGGAGATCGCGGCGGCGGCGGTAGGAGGCGGCAGGAGACGGCATGGCTCGGCTCGCTTGGCTCGCACTCGGGGTCGCTCTGCTCGCGGCGGCCACGGCGGTGACGCGAGGCTTGGTGAGTGGCGGGACTCACGGGGTCGGGGTAGAGACTGCGAAGTGGGCGCGCGACACCGGCCCTCGGAAGTGGGGCCACGGGAGGTTTGAAGCCTGGCTCCTGTCTCCTCATGGAGGCCCCCTGTCTCCTCACGGAGGTCCCCTGTCTCCTCATTGAGCTAGCTTATCTCCTCATGGAGGTCCCCTGTCTCCTCACGGAGGGTTCCTGTCGCCTCACGGAGGTCCCCTGTCTCCTCATTGAGCTAGCTTATCTCCTCATGGAGGTCCCCTGTCTCCTCACGGAGGCCCCCTGTCTCATTGAGGTAGCTTATCTCCTCATGGAGGTCCCCTGTCTCCTCACGGAGGGTTCCTGTCTCCTCACGGAGGTCCCCTGTCTCCTCATTGAGGTAGCTTATCTCCTCATGGAGGTCCCCTGTCTCCTCACGGAGGGTTCCTGTCTCCTCACGGAGGGTCCCTGTCGCCTCACGGAGGTCCCCTGTCTACTCATTGAGCTAGCTTATCTCATGGAGGTCCCCTGTCTCCTCACGGAGGGTCCCTGTCTCCTCACGGAGGTACCCTGTCTCCTCACTGAGGGTCCCTGTCTCCTCACGGAGGTCCCCTGTCTCCTCACGGAGGGTCCCTGTCTCCTCACGGAGGTCCCCTGTCTCCTCACAGTCTCCTCATGGAGGTCTCTCCGGTCTCTCCTCGCTTAGCCTGGTCTCGAGGAGAGGGCAGATCCATCGCCGAGCGCCTCAGGAAATGTCCCAGTCAACGACAACAACAACCGCGCTAAACTTGACCTCCACTCGCACACGTGGGCGCCAAACATAACGCCAACGATGGCAAAGCCCCTCAAAGAGAACAGTGCGTACAAGGTTGGGAACGAAACAAACAGGGGAAGCGTCTTTATTTTGACGCCAAGAGGCACGCGGCGATGGTGACCGCACACGCGCCTCGCTTGGTCGCCCGCATCTCGTTACGGGACATCTGGCCCAGCTCGCTGCGTGCAGGGTGTGCCGGGCTGCCTCGTTTTTCGGTCCAGACCGGGAGCTCTGTGGTCGTGAACGCGTTCTCGCCCCCCTCCCTCCTCCCCCTCCTCCCCTCCCTCCTCCCCCTCCTCCCCTCCCTCCTCCCCCTCCTCCCCTCCCTCCTCCCCCTCCCCCGAAAACAGCTCGCTAACAAGGCCCTCCATTCTCAACACAGAATCGGAATATTTATTTTATACTGGAGGAATCCGATAAACTGTAAAGCTCTTTTGATCTCTGATGTCCAGTAGGTTTAGAGATGGCCAGTAGGACTTTATAACAACCAATGTTACAACAGCAAACGATACAAAAGCACAACAGGAGTGGCAAGTATACACTGCGCCATACTGTTAGAGTATCCTTCGCACAAACATCGCTGGCTCCCACAACACCCGAGCAGGCCGGTTTTGCATCACACCAAAGACAAAGATCCGTACAACCCGAACAGACTGTTGGGGCAAGTGCTGTTAACGAACAGCACCTATGAAAACCGGCACAGCACATGAGGGGGGTGGATTGCCAACACCACGCCTGGCCGCCTTTGGTTCCCCAGTGGACGATGTTTACACGTCGCACCAGATACTCATCTGAGGCTGAGTCGACCTAGGGGAGGCCCAGGACCGGCTCAGATAGACGTCACTGCCGTTGGCCGTGAGCGGGAATCGAACTCGGGATGCCGGGTTTGTAGCACCGCGTGCTAATCGCTTACGCTATCGCTGCCCATCACACCTCCACCTCCATCAGTGAATATACCCGGCTACTCCATTCCTGGCCGTGTTCTGATCCACCAGCTCACTGAGTTAGAAATGTTGAATGCTGTCATTCACATCCCTATTTCACCTGCCACGAACACTCACACGACACTTTGTGTCACTCCACTGCCGGATGGATGAGGGTCTTCCCACCCTGTGCGGCTAGTGGTGGTTGTGTGACCATACTTCACCATACGGGCTAAGTGCTGGTTGGTGAAGGCAGAGAGCATAGACGTGGAAGCATAGTATTTTACTTTCAAATACTGTACACTATATTCCTTTATTTAAAATAATTAAATTGAATGTGTAATTAAACCTTTGAGGACACATTGAATTAAATACTTATAAACGATGAGGTTACATGGCAGCATAATCCATTGCTCTACTTACTGGTAAAACAACTCGCAAAATCCAACAGTGGATTGACTCGGCAATGGAAAGCACGTGAGTGTAATCCAAGGCATGTTTGTCCTCTATGTAATATCTAAAGAATGTGAGTACAGTGCTGTAATGGAGTGAGATTTAAAGTGAGTGCTTGTGTATTGCTTCCAGTGCAGTTCGTGTATCTGACCTGACGTGATGGTGAAAAGCCGTAGGGGCTGTTTTGGCACCGCGTGAAATGCTGACCACGCGGACGTTTGATGATTCAGTGTTTTTACTGCGGTAGATGACTGCATGTTTATACAGTGCAGGGTAAATTTAATTGCACTGCTTGCATATTGTCTGCATGCAAGTCCTTCCCACTGCTGTTTTTAAGCCCCCGAGCAGTTCCTGACAGCACAGCGTAACTCCCCAGGGTTGTGATCTCATGCTGTGAACTATGAACTTTTTATTTTACCAGGTAAGGCTCATCGAGCTCTATAGTTATTTTTCAGAAGCTACTTCGCCACCAATGATAGCCCAACGAAGTGGCTTATGTGGAAATTTATAGCGTCCAAATACTGTAAACGCATATATCTAAACCAGAGGACCTGGAGAAAAATACACACGGCCACGGAGAGAACGTACAAACTGGGTTGGGATTGAACCCACAACATCCTGTAATACCAGGCGACGTAGTGAACATCTCACCACGGTGGCACCCAACTGTGGAGCTCATACAACCAGGCTGTATGTTAATTCGCACTCCCAATAACATGGTGCATGTAATATGGTAATGTTGCTAAACTGGTTAGTATTAGCATGGTGATCTCATAATTTTCCCCATCGGTTATATCACTGGTTTATCTCATGATGATTGGCTGGTCCGGCACAGTGGTGGATGTTTATGCCTAAAGTTGCGCAGTGAGCTGGCCTCTTGTCGAGTGTTCTGAGTATGTGGGGTTTTAACCGTTGTAATGTTCATGGTGAATGCGGGCAGACTCGTGATGTTACAGTACTGTAATTCTTGCCATCTGTCTTCAGACCAGGAAGTGAAGACAAGTGAGAGGAATAACACTTTGTTTCCATGGACATTTGACTCGAGTATATCGGATTTTTCGCAGAACTTGTCGATCGACAGCTCGAGTTGGTTAAACAAAAGTAGTATTTCCATGATTCGAGTTATCAACGCAGGTTTGGGCAGGTCTTCACCAGAAATACTTCCAATTAAGACTTTTCTCCAAAAAAATGTTTGAGTAAAATACTTGTCTGTTGCTGACAAGATATCAGTGCTTGTTCTTAAGAAATATTCATGGTCTTACCCCTACCCACCCTCCACTCTCATCTCACTTCAACTCTCCACATGTTGTCTTCACTTGATCAATTAATGCCTCCTTATGAAGCCCAGTCAACCTTCCATTCCACAGGAGAGGTCGCTCCTTCTTCGCTTTTGCTCCTTGTGTCTGGAATTCTCTTCCATTTCAAGTTTGTGCACTTGAGGCTGTTCTTGTTCAGGTCAAGACTTAACTCATTTGTTTTAATGTGCATATAGCTAATGTGTTATCTATTTAGGTTGGTGATTTTTATTTTATTTTTGCCGTTTTAGTTTCTTTTATCCATTACCTGTGAAGCGTCTGGAGATGCAGTTGCATCTAGGTGCCCTATAAATGTTAAACTGTATTGTAAGATTCGATGTTCAATCAAATGATCGTGCCGTCTGCAACATTTTTTACAGATTGATGTATTTCCATTTGGTGCGACTTCTCACGTGAGGATTTCAGGCCCCCCAGAGGGAAATTCGGGCTCCAACCTAAGATGGCAGCCAACTCTATTTGACTAAAAATACGGAAAGGTGGTGCCAAGAGGGGGGGCACTCAATTTCATTCTCGAATACTGTAACTCATGGAGACACGCAGTGTGCCATGCCGATTAGCCAAGGTCTTTCATCTGCCTTCAGAATGCGTCTCTTTTTATAGACCCTGTCGTGAACCCTTTGCTGGTGCCCATGATGGTATCCACAGTTAGCACTTGTCTTCTGAAGGATGTTGTCACGGATTACCAGACCGTCGTACAGATCCTTAAAGGTAGCACGCGCACCTCCGATTAGCACAGTTGGCTATGTACAGTGTGAATGAAGTTCAACGTATATATCAGAATATTGAAATTTCTAAAATAAGTCCTTGCTTTTTATTTGTGTGGGAGGGTGATCGGTTAGGAAGTGGGAAGAATAGCTGCTATATATTTGATTATGGTTCCAATTGACACGAGGAGAAGAGGGTTCTTCAGGATAAAAAAAAAATATATACATTGTGTATTTTACTCTGAAGGTTTCTTTACAATTCTCGTTATTCTACATGCTGGTTCCTCTTAGGGGAGTGGTAGTGTAGCAGTTAGCGCACTTCGCTACGAACCTGTCAACCTGAGTTCGATTCCCGCTCACGGCCAACACCGGTGATGATTATCTGAACCGGTCCTGGGCCTCCCCGAGGTCGACTCAGCCTCAAATGAGTACCTGGTGCGCTGTGTAAAAACAGTGCCACTGGGGAGACAAAGACGGTCAAGCATGGTGTTGGCCACCCACTCCCTCGTGTACTGTGCCAGCCTTCATAGGTGCTCGTGAACAGCATTGCCACAACAGCATATTAAGGGTAAATGGGGGATTTGTCTTTTTTTGGTTCCTCTTGGTGGTCATGTGACATACAAATGCGTGACTTTTATGTGGGGTGTTGACTGGCACTGTGGCGTGTCCACACAGCCACGTGCCTTCTCTATTCATCACGTCTCTTGCTGCGCCCCCCCCCCGTCTATTTACTGTTTTTATCCCCACTTGTGTCCATTTCTCATGGCCGTGTTCTCCCACATGTCTCCAACACTGCAATAGGAGA